CCCCCCCAACTCTCTCAGCCTGTCCTCCCAGCAGAGGGGCTCCAGCCCTCCCAGCATCTCCATGGCCCTCCACGAGGAAAATATAGATACTTCCACTTTGAAAATGATTCCAATTTAACAGAATCATCCCACCTCTGCTTATTCAAGACCGAAGGAGACATCCACGACCTGCACGCCTCCCACTCTAGCGATGACCACACACAAAGGGCTCCAGCCCTCCCAGTATCTCCATGACCCTCCACAAGGAAAAGATAGATACTTACGCTTTGAAAATGATTCCCATTTAACAGAATCATCCCAATTCTGCTTATTCAAGACCAAAGGAGACATCCACGACCTGCACCCCTCCCGCTCTACCGATGACCACACACAAGTGCTACAGAAGTCAGGCTTCAGGTATTTTTGGCCCTTTGTTTTCAGATCTGCTTAGGGGACCACACGTCATCTCAGGATTTTTACATCACACCGATGGATACCAAGCGGAAACTCACGGTAGTGTTTTCCTGATGATGAAAACCTTTCTTTAAACATCTTGCTAGGGGCTAAGAAGAAAAGCAGGGAGAATCTTTTCAGCTGTGATGACCACACACAAATGCTACAGAAGTCAGGCTTCAGGTATTTTTGGCCCTTTGTTTTCAGATCTGCTTAGGGGACCACACGTCATCTCAGGATTTTTACATCACACTGATGGATACCAAGCGAAAACTCAGGGTAGTATTTTCCCCGATGATGAAAGCTGTTTGTTATACATCTTGTTAGGAGCTAAGAAGAAAAGCAGGGAGAATCCTTTCACAGCTTGTGCCTAGAATTACAGAATCACAGAATCTTCTAGGTTGGAAGGGACCTTAAAGATCATCTTGTCCAACTGTCAACCTAACTTTGACAAAAATAGACACCCACACAACAAACAAGCATCACCATCACTAAACCATACCTCCCAGCACTACATCAACCTGTCTTTTGAACACCTCCAGGGATGGTGCCTCAACCACCTCCCTGGGCAGCCCATTCCAATGTCCGATAACCCTTTCAGTGAAAAAATTCTTCCTAATATCCAGCCTGAACAACACTGCCACCCAGCTTGGTGTCCTCTGCGAACTTACTGAGGGTGCACTCGATCCCCGGACGGAATAAATCTGCACAAGGGACTGAACTTCCTTTTCTCAGGGCCCATTTACTTCCCCGGTTTCGTTGGCTGAGTTGAATTTCCATCAGGCGACACTTTTTATGGTGTTGCTCAAAGATGATTATCTTTCTACTCCTGTATTTCTTCCCTTTGCCAAGACTCTCCTCCCAAAAATAAATGATTTGGACAGTAGCTTATAAAGTTCACATGGATCATGATTTCCGTGGAAGGAATGAAAGATAACATAGAATGACACAGAAATAAGGGCTGGTAACAGCCACAGCATGGCTGAGTTGAATTTCCATCAGGCGACACTTTTTACGGTGTTGCTCAAAGATGATTCTCTTTCTACTCCTGTATTTCTTCCCTTTGCCAAGACTCTCCTCCCAAAAATAAATGATTTGGACAGGAGCTCATAGAGTTCACATGGATCATGATTTCCGTGGAAGGAATGAAAGATAACAAAGAATGACACAGAAATAAGGGCTGGTAAGAGCCACGGCACGACAATATCCCGTAGGATTTTCATCACTGTTACCCACTGAAGTAGAATTTTTGTCCCAAAGGTCTGATAGATTGAGCTGTGCTACCCCGAGGCGCTAACCCTGTTTGAGCCCCGCTCTTATAATTTTCAAATAGGGCAATTAACAAAAAGTTTGCTTTTGGTTTTGGATAAGAGGATGTGTGATCACACCCTGTCTTTAGAAGCGATATGTTGTTCCCATGTTTGGCATAGTACAGCAAAAAATAATAATAAAAAAGAGACTTATAGAGCTTAGCAACATTTTAGGACCTTTCTAAAATACAGCAGTAGGAATGCTGTCAGAATAGTAAAATCCTTTAAAAGTTGCAGAACTAAGTAAGAGAAAACTGTTTATCAGTTTGCCCCCTGTTTTTCAAGCCAGAACTATGTTATCACATAACGCTTTTCCTGCTTTCATTTCAGACAAGTATTTCCATCACTACAAAAATCCACCTTCATAGGAATAGCCCTAGAAAGCTTTAACTCCTCTGTTAAAAGAAGGCGATAACATAGAATGACACAGAAATAAGGGCTGGTAACAGCCACAGCATGACAATATCCCGTAGGATTTTCATCACTGTTACCCACTGAAGTAGAATTTTTGTCCCAAAGGTCTGATACATTGAGCTGTGCTACCCCGAGGCACTAACCCTGTTTGAACCCCGCTCTTATAATTTTCAAATAGGGCAATTAACAAAAAGTTTGCTTTTGGTTTTGGATAAGAGGATGTGTGATCACACCCTGTCTTTAGAAGCGATATGTTGTTCCCATGTTTGGCATAGTACAGCAAAAAATAATAATAAAAAAGAGACTTATAGAGCTTAGCAACATTTTAGGACCTTTCTAAAATACAGCAGTAGGAATGCTGTCAGAATAGTAAAATCCTTTAAAAGTTGCAGAACTAAGTAAGAGAAAACTGTTTATCAGTTTGCCCCCTGTTTTTCAAGCCAGAACTATGTTATCACATAACGCTTTTCCTGCTTTCATTTCAGACAAGTATTTCCATCACTACAAAAAATCCACCTTCACAGGAATAGCCCTAGAAAGCTTTAACTCCTCTGTTAAAAGAAGGGCCAGTGTCACAACGTTTAGTGTCATTTCACATCAGATTTTAAAACTAATTCAAGCCTGGTTTTGAGTCTCCCCTGAAAGCCATACACTAGCCCAAAAATATTAAGGTTTGGCTATTAGTGCTTTGGAGCTCATTATCTTATTAGGAAAAACTCCGTTAGGAAGACTGGAAGCACTCTTTCATATGAATTAACATGATCTGAGAAACGTTAGGAAGACTGGAAGCACTCTTTCATATCAATTAACGTGAATTTCTTCTGGCAACTGAAGCTGTGAGTGAGGATATATCCATCACCAGAGCATCTGGTAGCAAAACCTGGCGGGGTTACCTCACACTGGATGATATTTTCAATACCTTGGATTATCCAGGGCATCTGTGTCATCTGCATGACACAGGGACCACACAAGACCTGTGCCGCTTTGGAGCAGTGAATAATTAACTTAAGGATCCCAAAATAGCACCTTGCTATGTTTGGGTGGGACTGAGGCACCCAAAGAATGAAGGTGAGAATGCAGAAGAAAATAATTCACAGATTCATAGAATGGTTTGGGTTGGAAGGGACCTTAAAGATCATCCAGTTCCAACCCCCTGCCCTGAGCAGGGACACCTCCCACCAGAGCAGGTTGCTCAAAGCCCCATCCAACCAGGCCTTGAAAACTTCCAGGGAATACCATAATACAGAATGATCCAACCTGGCCTTGAACACCTCCAGGGAATATCATAATACAGAAGATGCATCTGCTACCAACCCTTAGATACAGTCCTAAAAGAATGATTAATTCACCTCCCTTTATTGAAGAACATGGATTTTCAGTCTTCCCTCGTCCTCCCCACTCCTGCAAGGAGCATTGTGTGTCCATCACATGGATGATATTACAAAAGCAGAAGAAAAACAGTAGAATGTTGTGGACATCTTACATGGCCTATATTTTAGGAAAGACACAAATCTTCCCCACGCATACTTAACTCTTGTGAAGAGGAGCTGCTTGTTTGTAAAAAATCTTTATTACTGATTTTTTTGTAGCATCCACCTCTTTCTTTTTAATGACAAAAAGATTACTTACCATCTAACCATGAGCCCAAGCTCCATGAAGTTTTTCAGGTTAGGAAGAGTTTGCCTTAGATCCGGAGTACTCAGCCCATGTTGATATCTAAGCTACAAGAACAGAAAAAAAAAATAAAATTAACACTGCTTTCCAAATCCCAGATTCCAATGAAACATTAGAATCATTATGGTCAGTTAATTTACTAAGTTTTCAAAAAAAGGTGTAGGATAATCAAGCAGTTCCAAGAGATCTACTGCCCTTAAGGAAATGTTCCATTTAATTCTCATAACCTTGTATTAGCAAAACCCACCCAAGAACGGGGAGAAAATAATCAGTCAATCTGACTGTTAAACCTCATTACACTTTTTCCATTTCCTATCTGTAACAGGAGAGCAGCCTGATAGATTAATACAAACACAACCATTAAGTGAAAAGACCAAATTTCAACACAATGTTCGATATTCTCCCATTTCAAGCATTTATTTGTGTGTAAGTGTCATCTGTCACCCTGAGCGTATCAACATGTGCTGGAATCAGCAGTGGAATTATTACAGCCATATCAACTAGTGAAAATACACACTGTCACACAACGGATCGAAATCTGGGCTCCTTATACAGTTTCCATCAATATTTAAACTACTTCGATTATTCTCATAATTAAACCCATAAATGCCGTGTAGCTAAAAGAAAAGCTTCAAATGTTGTCTGACTGTTAACCCAAGTATTAACTCCTTTGCGGGTGCCAACATAAAGGAAAAGATTCGATAAACTGACTCCAGGCAAACATCAACTCATCAAATCAAATCCACGTGACATAACTCTCACTGCTGGTAATTATAAACTACTTATTTAAGGAGTCCCCAGGTGAAAAATACCTCCAAAGAAAACGGTACACGGAAGGGAAAAAGCCTTTACTTCTTTCAAGTTTGAATCTCAAAACTTCACGGAAACTTTGCAGGGAAATTCATCCCCTCTTGTGGTTAAAATAGGGAAAAAAAAATAACCCCTAAATTCTAATATCTTTAAGACTATCGGCATGAAGCAGCATCGACTTAATACACTGTTCTCAGCAGATGTTAACAATCTAGATCTAGAAATCTCTAGATCTCTAACAACAATCTAGAGATTTCTAACATTCTCTAGAAATCACAGCTGCCCCCCCGATAAACACATACAGCAAGAATTGTAAAATTCTGAAATTTGTAAAGTAAAATTGATGCTGATAGAGCTTTTTGCCGAAACATGGAACAATCCCACTCAAAGTTCAATTAGATTTCTTTTTTAGAATTATACACCTGTTTCCATAATTCCTGAAAATTAGGTGTAGGGAAGCGTCCTCCAAGCTAAGAAAGATTTGACTTCTCCCAAACAATGGCCCAATCAGTTTTTCGCTGAAAAAGACTGGAAATTGGGAATGAGTTTTAGAAAGAAAAATGGCTTTGGAAGAAAATCATCCTCAGCACTGCATTGTACAACAGGAGACCATTTATTACCCAGTTTATTATTTCCATATGGACACAGTCAAGTCATATGGTGGGCTTGGATTCATATTTTCTGCTACAATGACAGAACCTGGATTAAGACAACCATACAATATAAATTACTAAACGATCACCACGTTCTCCTGATGGGATTACAGTGGATTTGGTTAACCAAAGAACTAGCCTGGGGCAAAAGAAATAAAAAAAAAAGAAGAAAAAAAAAAACAAAAATCAAAACCATTACATTTGTTCCTTCTGCTACAATCAAGCGTTCATAGGATACCCCTTTTTATAGTCATCCTTAAATTCTAAGGTTTCAGAGCATGAAAAGAATTGGATTAAGGGATCTCTCTATTTCCAACAGCCAAGATCAGAGGAACGCACGTGAGACTCTTGTATTAGAACATGAGAAAAACACTGTTTCTGCTAAAACACATTTTCATGTCGCAAATAATAGAGACGCAGAGTAAGTAAAGGTTTGTGAAACCTCCAAAAAAAAAATATTAACTTTATGAACTGCATTCTATTTGACTTTGTAATAGCTTGAAACCAAAGCAATATTGCCTCATGTGTCTGCATCAATACGAGCTGAGGATGATGTATTTACCAAACAAACCTACATGAGCCCATGGGCCTTGGTGGCCAAGGAGGCCAATGGCATCTTGGGGGGCATCAGGAAGAGTGTGAGCAGCAGGTGGAGGGAGGTCATCCTGCCCCTCTGCTCTGCCCTGGGGAGGCCCCATCTGGAGCACTGGGACCAGTTCTGGGCTCCCCAGTTCCAGAAGGACAAGGAACTGCTGGAGAGGGGACAGCAGAGGGCTACAAAGATGATGAGGGGTCTGAAGCATCTCTCTTATGAGGAGAGGCTGAGGGACTTGGGGCTTTATAGTCTGGAGAAGGCTGAGGGGGGATCTGATCAACACCTATAAATCCTTCAAGGGTGGGTGTCAGGAGGATGGGGCCAGTCTTTTTACAGTGGTGCCCAGTGGCAGGACAAGAGGAAATGCACACTTGAATCTAAGAAGTTCCACCTAAACGTGAGGAGGAACTTCTTTACTTTGAGGGTGGCAGAGCCCTGGCAGAGGCTGCCCAGAGAGGTGGTGGAGTCTCCTTCTCTGGAGACATTCAAACCCCACTTGGACACGTTCCTGTGCAACCTGCTCTAGGTGGACCTGCTTTGGCAAGGGGTTGGATGGGATGATCTCCAGAGGTCCCTTCCAACCCGAGATCATTCTGTGATTCTGTAATCCCAGAAGCTGCTGAAAAACTCATCTGCTTTCTGCTGACAGAAAATAACAGGAATAATAACAAGGAGGAGGAAGGACCGAGGAAGAGGAGAAGGAGGAGAAGAACCACCACCTCTTTCCTGAATTTGAATATTTTTTAACAGCCAACACCACACACAGGGACAGTCACTCCCCCTCATCCAATAAATAGTAAAACACTGAACAGCAGTAACACCCATCACCTGTGATCTGTTACAGGAGGATTCGTAATGTCAAAATCAATTTTAAAGAGAGAAAAACGTAGGGAGAGGACACCTGCTTTGCTCGTGAGTTAAAGGGAACTTAAAGATAGAGCTTTGGAATATTTTTGGAAGAAAAGAGACGAGAAGGAGCGCAGTGAAACACGGCATCGAGGTAGGAAAATGAAAACAGAAAGAGCTGTCTCGATTCTCCAAAGAAACCAAGTCCACATTTCAGTTGTTGCTGTTAAACATCTCCCTCATCTCCACCTGCCCCAGAGGAACCGAGTATCATTTGCAAAAGCAGCGTTTTATTTAAAGATCAGGTTGTTCCTTCAGGATATTAGGGACCTGGGCCTCCAAAGAAAACGTGCCTGGTTTCATTTGAGTCCACAAGTGTCTGAGATTCGTGTTCACATTTATGACTGTGTGTTCTCCACGGGGCTGTGAGTACATCATTAATGATGTTCAACTAATAAAACATTAATTGCCATTTCCTTACTAATATTTAGCTCCTATACACAGCTTTGTTTTCCCAAGTGCTGTGTGAAACGTCGCTTGACTTGAAGAAAAACACATAGTAAACACGAACTGGAAAACAAATGAGCTAAAGGCATCAGACACTTCAGCCAGGAGCCCCAATCTGCTCTCACACCAGGTACCAGCAACACCTATCCCACAGGAACAAGACGTAGCGGATGAGACACATCGTATTTAATTAAGGGTTCAAGACAGAGTAACTTCAAGGCTATTTAAGGGAAGAAAAAAAAATATTAACCCTACTTTGCAATTTCTTTCAATTATGCAGGTTTATTCCTTTTACTCATCTCAAAAAGTGAAAGGTTCAACATTGTTTTGTACTTCATTGCTTTGGATTCCGTGCTAATTGATACCAGTCCAAGTTATTTAATTAGACATGTAAAGAAATGGCTAGTAGATGGGAACCAGAAGAAAAAAAACAAAACAACAAACCAAACCCAAAACTACATTCATGTTCCTATAAGATTTTGGAATCATAGAGTGGTTAGAGTTGGAAGGGACCTTAAAGACCATCCAGTTCCAACCCCCTGCCCTAATATCTAATATCTATCCTAATATCTAATCTAAATTTCTCCTCTTTCAATTTAAAACCATTATCCCTCATCCTATGGCTCCACTCCTTGACCAAGAGTCCCCCCCCATCTCTCCTGTAGCCCCCTTCAGGTACTGGAAAGTCATCATAAGGTGTCTCCAGAGCCTTCTCTTCTCCAGGCTGAACAACCCTTGTTGAAATAAGCTACACTTAAAGGAATTGTTCTCAGAGTAAAAGGTAAGATTTATTCTTAAAATTTGTATTAACTTTTTATTGAAAGGTTTAAACACTTAATTTCCATCTAAGACTAAAGAAATCGTTCCAGCTGATACAACCACAGCATCAGCTGTAGGCGAGAAATGACTAACAAATTAAAGTTAACTCATAACAAGTTGGGTGTAATTGGTTTAGACTCTTTAGGAAGAGGAAAAATAAATAAATAAATACCCAGTTGCTCCGGTTTCTACCTGCTTTTCCTTCTGTGCAACGGCTTTAACTTTGACAGGGAGGAAGCTGTCTGTCCTGAGCAGTGAATCAGCTTTACCCTGAGCATCCCTAACCCAACTCCTGCCATCCAAGCATCTTCCAAGTAATTTATTTGGTCAACCAGACCAAATAAATATTATTTACTTATATTTACATACATATATATAAGTACTTATATTTACTTCTATATATAAATATTATTTACTTATTAAAATCATGTCAGACAACACAGAAGCTTAGCACCATCCACAATAAAACAAATCAAGACAAGTGGAGCTTCCTGATTTGTTAACTAATTAAAATACAAACCTGCAATTGCAGTTACTCTCCTATAAAGTCTGTAAGGTAAGAAGTACTAAAAGTATTCATGTTTTTCAGATATGTTGCCCTAAAAAGAAACCCTTCAGATATCTTTCCATTTCTGGGTAACATCAGATCGCACCCAAGATCAAAATTAGGGCTGTTGCAACGAAGGGGCTGCCTCTTAATAACAATATCCTGCGTTTCTGTGCAAAGAAGAATAGCCCATTTCCCACACTAATCCCTGTAACGGTATTTAATGACTAAATGTATACAAGCACATGCATTTACTTCCAGCCAGAAACC